ATTTTTGGATAAAAATCAACTCTCTAACAGTAGTAACTCATTTACCTTCATCAGCTCCCATTTCAAGTGCCAGATGGTCTGGATCCGTTCAAATCAGCACCGTTCTACTGTGCAGGTGTTACCATGTATAAAGCTTTGAAGATTTCACAAGCACGATCAAATGATTGGGTTTCGATTGTTGGTGTTGGTGGCTTAGGCAAGCTGCTTTCTTTTTATTGAGTATCATGCGTCTTAAAACAATATTCTCTATAGGATCTATTGGCATCAAATATGCAAAAATAATGGGCTATCGTGTTATCGGCATTGTAGCGGAAAAGGACCAGGTATAGAAATTGTTTCAGTTAATTTGAGATTCGCTAAAATTGTATTTCTATAGGCTGCAGCCAATCTGGCGCTTGAAATGGGAGCTGATGAAGGTAAATGAGTTACTACTGTTAGAGAGTTGATTTTTATCCAAAAATCTGAAAAATCAAATTATTTTCATTGTTTTCGATCAACATGTTAAGTATTTCATCGTTTCGATATACCGAACCTTTTGACGTACAGCTATTATTTTATTCTATCTTTGAAAAGTCTTGAACTCATGTCATAGAAGAGCTTTTCAAAATAGTCTGCAAAAGATTTTTGTTTACACTTAACATTTACTTCAGTAATTGTTACATTCCGTTCTTTGATTCAATCTTTAGTTTATGATGGTCCTATTGATCAACACAGCAACTTTGTCAAAGGAAAAACAAATGGAGGTGTTCAAGCATCACTCGTTACTGTTCCTCTTATTTCTGTATACGAACAAGCATTACAATCATTGAAACGAGGCGGTCGTCTCGTCATGATTGGTTTGACAAAAGAAAAACTTTCAGTAACAGTGAGCGAATGTATAAGTAAACAGATTCAAATTGTAGGCTCATTAGTTGGCACGCGAACCGATCTTCAAGAAGCACTCGATATGGCGCAAAAGTATAAGATTGAATGCAAAGTACAAACATGTCAACTTGAACAAATCAATGAAGTCTTTGATGATATGAGGAATTGTCGACTAATAGGCCGTATGGTCATCGATTTTACTACAAATTCGAAATAAATTCATGCAGGACTATTATTCTACACGTCGATTTTTTTATAAAACATATTCATCTTTTTAACAATAGAATATTGTTTATCCCATAGAACAATTTCATGTTTTGAGAATCACAAATAATGCACACAGTTATTCAGAATGCGATGTAGATATAAGTATGAGTGTGGTGAACTTGAAAAAGTCTATTTTGTTACCAAACAATCATCCCTCGTTTCGTGCACATCTTTCATTTACTGAGTATATTCAGTGAAACGTAAATATACATATGAAAAATAGTGAATTCCTTCAATTCTATCATTGGAATTCAATCACGAATTATTCTTCTCTTTCATGAGCTCTACGAAGAGATTTTTTCTGAAATCATTTTATTTAAACATAAATTAGAGAGTGTTAAAAATTTAGACAATATATTTTATGTGTCGAGGAACATTTGCTAAAATTTCGATCTTAAAATATTTTATTCTAGATGAGTTATAAAATTCTTGATCTTCTTTTATGTTAAGATTCACTCAATCTAACTCATATTTTTTATAGTTATAAGTTAAATATTCGGAAATCTTATAAACTTTATCATGATCTAAGATCGAAATAATAATGTGTTGAAACTTTGAATCTTATGAGATAAGAATCTGTCAATTGCACTGATAATTGAGATTTGCTTAGAAACGTTTATGTACAAAATTTTCGGTTTTACAGATCTCATATTGAAAATATTCAGTATGTTTACGATCAAAATCAAAGGAAATCGTAAGTTGTTGCATTCATAATAAAGCATAACGATAGATTTTGTAATCAAAAATATATGAATTCTATCGTATAATGCCACATACATTGATTATTTCATAAATATCACATAACAGAGAAAAAATTCTAATTATAATAAAAACTGTTGAGAACTGAAAACTTTAGTGAGAAGCATTTTTTATTTATTCGTATTATAATGATATTTTATTAAACAATCGATCAAATGAATAAAAATGTTTCTCAGAATTCGATTACAACTTTCATTTATAATATTCAAGTTTCATCATAAGTAATTTACAAAGACGGTAGATTTACGTTTTTATGTAGTTGAGATACATGTATGTGCCAGATTTTGTGAAACACGACCTGAAAGGAGTGTTGAAGTGTTTAGGGTAGAAATTTGCACCCCCCCCCGGCCCCCCGCCCAGCGCCTTCCCGACCCGGGATTCCAGCCCCACCGCCCGGTACAGACAGGGCA